CGGGCCGCGTAGCGGACATGGCGGGCTCCCGGCTCCCGCGGCGGCTCTTCCTCCAGGGCGTGGCGGCCGTCTTCATGTTCGCCTTCGCGTCCCTCTACACGCAGATCCCAGGTGAAGGCACCCAGGGTGGAACACCCCCAGCCTCGGCGCGGGACCCTGTGTCCTCTTTTCTCTGCGCCCGGCATTCACGCAGTCTGGGGTTGGGAGTGAGGGCCAGGCCTTGGCGTGGCCAGAGCGGGTAGGGGGCGGAGGTTCGTGTCCTGCAGGCCGCTGTGGGGGTAGGAATCGGTGCGGTGATCCGTTTGCTGTGAGGCTCTGGACTCTGACCTGGGGTGGGGGACAGAACTCTGAGAGAGGTGGGAGAGCGGCTTCCTCCCGGACCTGGTGGGGCGGGTAGGAAGTCGGGCTGAGACCTGAAAGAGGGCAGTGGGCTGTGCTGGGTGGAGGCCCTGACCCCGCTAGTTGAGCAGGCCTCTAGCCCTGGGACGGGGTTTTGACAGGTGCTGACCTGGGGGACGGGCTCTGGAGGGACCGCGGACCCTGACCTAGGGATGGAGGTATCCGCGTGCTCTGACCTAGGTTGGGGGGTCTGCAGGCCCTGACTCAGAGGTAGTCTAGTCTGCAAGGGCTGTCCAGGGCCTGGCCCTGACGTGCCCTCCCACAGGCCTGTATGGCCCCGAGGGCATCCTACCTGCAAGGAAGACGCTGCGGCCGCAGGGCAAGGGCCGCTGGCAGCAACTGTGGGAGACCCCGACGCTGCTATGGGAAGCGCCGAGACTGGGGCTGGACACGGCCCAGGGCCTGGAGCTGCTGAGCCTGCTGGGCGCACTACTGGCCCTGGGGGCCCTGCTGCTGAGCCCACTGCGTCACCCCGTCGTCTACCTGCTACTTTGGGCTGCCTACCTTTCGGCCTGCCAGGCAAGTGGGACCCCTGTGACCAGCTCAGTCCACCCCTACCCCTGCCTCTGCCTTACCTGAGTCCACAGACACACTTGCTCCCTGACGGCCCCTCTCTCTGCAGGTGGGCCAGGTGTTCCTTTATTTCCAGTGGTGAGTGACCGCTGGACCTGGGGCTGCGGGAGGCTGGGTGGGGGTGGGGTAGGGCCTCTCCTGGGAGGACCCTCCCAGGGGAGCAGCTGTGTCGGGAGGAGCTCTTGGTGCTATTTTCTGTCCCCATAGGGACTCCCTGCTGCTAGAGACTGGCTTCCTGGCCGTGCTGGTGGCCCCGCTGAGGCCAGCCTCCCACCGCAAGCAGGCCCCCCAGGGCGGGCGGGCAGGGGCCCTGCCCCATGAAGACCTCCCCTTCTGGCTGGTGCGCTGGCTGCTGTTCCGCCTCATGTTCGCCTCAGGCGTGGTCAAGCTGACCAGTCGCTGCCCCGCGTGGTGGGGGCTCACTGGTGAGGGGCCCTTCCTGGACCTGGGGTGGTCTGCGGGCTCTGCCAGCCCTGACTCCTGCTCTCGCCTGCAGCCCTCACCTACCACTACGAGACCCAGTGCCTGCCCACGCCCGCCGCCTGGTTCGCACACCACCTGCCTGTCTGGCTGCACAAGCTCAGCGTGGTGGCCACCTTCCTAATCGAGATCGCCGTGCCGCCCCTGTTCTTCGCCCCCATTCGACGCCTGCGTTTGGTTGCCTTCTACTCGCAGGTAGGTGAGAGCTGCAGCTGTCAGAGAGAGGCAGACAAGGCTCGGCCTTCAGCGCTGCTCAGCGTGCCCTGTTGGGGACAGGGTGGCTCCCGGGGACAGGTGGCAACCGCTGTTGGGAAGGCCTTGTAGCAGAGGGATGCGCCCCGCAGGATGGAGGTGGGGGCCTACTAGGTAGGGCTGCATCACAGGGTCGGGCGTCCGTCTCCGGGAGCATTGAGAGTGGGCCGCCCCCAGGTGCTGCTGCAGGTCCTGATTATCATCACTGGCAACTACAACTTCTTCAACCTGATGACGCTGGTGCTCACCACTGCGCTGCTAGACGACCAGCACCTGGCTGCTGAGCCTGGCCACGGCAGCCGCAAGAAGACGACCACCTGTGCGTGTCACTCGTCCTGGGTTCGCTGTCGCTAGCCCCCTGCCCTCCCGGGGGTTCTCCCCTCCAACACCCCCACAGGACTCCCACTCTAACTGCACCCCAGCACCCTGGCTAGGGACCCTCTGCTGACCCATGACTGTCCTGCCCCACAGCCTGGCCCAAGGCCCTGCTGGCCACACTGTCGCTGCTGCTGGAACTAGCCGTCTACGGGCTTCTGGCCTATGGCACTGTGCACTACTTTGGCCTGGAGGTTGACTGGCAGCAGCACACCATCCACTCCAGAACCAGTGAGTGCCGACTTGGGGGGGCCAGAGGGCAGGGGCGGACCAGTCCTCACACCCCCCTTCTCCGCCAGCTTTCACCTTCCACCAGTTCTCTCAGTGGCTAAAGACACTGACGCTGCCCACCGTGTGGCTGGGTGTGGCCTCCCTGGCCTGGGAGCTGCTGAGTGCCCTCTGGAGGTACATGGCCCAGGAAGCGGGGAGGGGGCACAGGTGTGCAGGGCCGCCATGACGACCTTGGGTCCCTGCCCACAGGTGGACCCAGGTGCGGGGCTGGCTACGGAAGTTCAGTGCTGCAGTCAAACTGTCCCTTGTGAGCACTGCGACTGTGGCCTTGTTCTTGATCAGCCTGGTGGGTAGCACTGCAGGGCTGGGGGGCAGGCCGGGGGCAGGACAGCCCTGAGAACCGCCCACCTGCCTCCAGGTGCCGTACTCCTACGTGGAGCCCGGGACCCACGGGCGCCTCTGGACTGGGGCCCACCGCCTGTTTGGCGCCGTGGAGCACCTGCAGCTGGCCAACTCCTACGGCCTCTTCCGCCGCATGACCGGGCTTGGTGGGCGGCCTGAGGTGGTGCTGGAGGGCAGCTACGATGGCCACCACTGGACGGTGAGTCCTCACAGGGTGGGCAGGGTGGGGCCCAGGTCAGCTGGCCCAGCTGACTTCGGCCTGCCTGGCAGGAGATCGAGTTCATGTACAAGCCTGGGAACCTGAGCCGGCCTCCCCCAGTTGTGGTGCCCCACCAACCACGCCTGGATTGGCAAATGTGGTTTGCAGCCCTGGGCCCGCACACGCACAGCCCGTGGTTCACAAGCCTGGTCTTGCGCCTGCTGCAGGGCAAGGAGCCAGGTGCGAAGCGGGGTGGAGAGGGGCAGGGTGGAGAGGGAGACAAGAGGGGGCGGGGAGGGTACTGCGGGAGCCACACTGACCCCTCTCGCTGCAGTGATCCGCCTCATCCAGAGTCAAGTGGCCAGGTATCCCTTCCACAAGCAGCCGCCCACCTATGTCCGAGCCCAGCGCTACAAGTACTGGTTCTCCCAGCCTGGAGAGCAAGGGTAAGGCCGGGCACCGGGTGGGGTGTGGAGCTCGGGGAGCAGGGGTAAGGCCGGGCACCGGGCGGGGTGTGGAGCCCGAGGTGCCGCCAGGCTCTGAACATCAGGTCCCGCTGCAGCCAGTGGTGGCGGCGCCAGTGGGTGGAGGAGTTCTTCCCACCCGTGTCCCTGGGAGACCCGACGCTGGAGACACTGCTCAGGCAGTTTGGGCTGCAGGTAAGGGGGTATCAGCCAGCTTAGGGGAGGTGGCAGGGGTGACCCTAGCCTCCTGGGGTGAACCCAGTAAGCACTTCCCCAATCTCCCTCCCACAGGACAAGAGCCCACCCCGGGCCCGCAGTGCCAACAGCACTCTGGCCCAGGCCCTCCACTGGACTCGCACTCAGCTGTCTCCTCTGGAGGCCCCCGCCCTGCTCTGGGGGCTCCTTGTGGCCATAGGGGCTGTCAGAGTTGTGCAGGCCCTGCTAGCACCCTGGTCTCTCCGGTCCTCCCCCCTGGCACCAGCCAGCGGGGAGAAGCGCAGGCCAGCCCCCCATAAAGACTCTGGAGCTGCCTCCGAACAGGCCACCCCAGCCCCCAACCCCTGTACCAGTAGTTCGCGGACCGCCCGGCGAAAGAAGTAGCTGTGTTCTCCGGGCCACGCATCCTGAGAGGGTTGGGTCCCTGGGACTGCTCTGGCCTCCGGCAGGACAGGACCCAGCCACTGTGCCTTAGCTGACCCTGCAGGGCCAGGCACAGGTTGGGGGGCTGCCCCTGGGGTTTGCAGGGTGCTGCATTGAGGGCTCCAGGCCCCACCCCCACGCCAGCCACGCCCCTCCCCAGGACTCCCACTGTTGCCTCTGTGATTGGCCCAGGAGGGAAACACCACCCAGCTCAAGACCCTTCCCCTGCCCTGCGCTGTGGGGGTCTGAGTCTGGAACCCCCACCCCAGGCCCCATGCCGGAGGGGAAGAGACTGACTCTCAGGGAAAGAGGGGAAGCACCGTCATCTTCCACGTCATCTTCACACCAGCCCATCCTGCCCTTTAGATCTGGGCACCAATAAAGGCGTCTTTTGTGCTTGGCTGTGTGCCTGGTGCTGCTTTCACGGGAGGCCTGAGGATGGGAGTGTCTCCCCTACTCCGGGCAGTGGGCGTCCAGAGCACCGTCAGGCTCCCCCACGGCGTGGCCCCCCAGGCACCCTCCTGCCCCATCCTTGGCATTCTCTGTAAGGAGGCCTGGCTTGGCGTTGTCCATTGCCGGACCACAAAGGAGCCTCAGGCCTGGCACAGCCCAGTGGACCTGTCAGCTCCACACTCCAAGGCTGGTGGTGGAGCTGGTCCCTCCCCTCCTGCTCACATTTCCTGGCCTCAGGAAAGGATGGAAGGGCCAGAGTGGGCAGGGGGTGAAGGAGAGGTGAGGTGGGCGAGTTAATAGAGGCTCCTCTGCAGAGTGAAGCCAGGGGGAGGGGAGCTGGAGGCCCTGGGTTGGGACGGAGGAGGGAAGGTGCATCTGACGCCCCCAACCTCGATCCTAGGAAGAAGACAGCAGCAGAGAAAGCAGTCAGGGCACCGTCCAGGTTTCCGTTTGGGGTCAGGTTATCAGTTGGAGGTCACTGCCCACCCTGGAAACTCACAGCACAGCTTCCTCTGCCTCTGGCCCGTCCTTGGTACAGCCCCCATCTCCTGCTCTCCCGCCAGACCCCTGGGCAGCTCCCACTATACCCAGCTCCCTCACGTCGCTGACCTCCATCTGGCCCACCCAGACAGAGCTCCATGCTCAAACACAGCCGGTGGCGTGAACTCTCAGATGCCTTCAGGGGCTCAGCTGGTGGCGTGAACTCTCAGATGCCTTCAGGGGCTCCTATACATGGAATAAACAATCGAGAAGTCAGCCTTGGCTTAGTAATAGGCCATGCACGGTGGCTCATGCCTGTAATCCCAACTCTTTGAGAGGCTGAGGGGGAGTAGATCACCTGAGGTCAGAGTTCGAGACCAGCCTGGCCAACATGGTGAAACCTGATTTCTACTAAAAATACAAAAATTAGCCGCGTGTGGTGGCGGGTGCCTGTAATGCCAGCTACTTCACAGGCTGAAGCAGGAGAATTGCTTGAACCTGGGAAGCGGAGGTTGCGGGGAGCCGAGATCGTGCCACTGCACTTCAGCCTAGACAACAGAGTGAGACTCCGTCTCAAAAAAAAAAAGGTAATCTGTTTAAAACTCAAAAACCTGTTCCTAGGCTTCTTTGTTTTCTGGACAGGGTCTCTCTCACTCTGTTGCCCAGGCTGGAGCAGTGGTGCAGTTGTGGCTCACTGCAGCCTCAGACTCCTGAGCTCAAATGATCCTCCTGCCTCAGGCTCCCACCACCACACACACTCCCCGTGTTGCCCAGGCTGATGTTCCTAAGCTTTTTTTTTTTTTTGAGACGGAGTCTCGCTCTGTCGCCCAGGCTGGAGTGCAGTGGCACAATCTTGGCTCACTGGCGTGCGTCCGACCTGATGTTCCTAAGCTTTTAAGCTCACTTTATGAATGTCTTCTGTGTTTTTGTTTTCTGTAACAGCTTTCTTGGTAAGTCACATGCTATACAATTCACCCATTTCAAGTGCACAACTCAGTGGCTTTCAGTATATTCACAGAGTTGCACATCCATCACCAGAGTTCATTTTATTTATTTATTTATTTAGAGACACAGTCTCACTGTTGCCCAGGCTGGAGGGCTGTGGCACAATCTCAGCTCACTGCAACCTCCACCTCCTGGGTTCAAGCGATTCTCCTGCCTCAGCCTCACAAGTAGCTGTGATTACAGGCGTGCACCACCACACCTGGCTAATTTTTGTAGTTTAGTAGAGATGGGGGTTTTCACCATGTTGGCCAGGCTGGTCTCGAACTCCTGACCTCAGGAGATCCACCCACTTTGGCCTCCCAAAGTGCTGCGATTATAGGCCTGAGCCACGGCGCCCGGCCCAGAGGCCATTTTAGAACCTTTCATCTCCTCCGGAAGAAACCCCAAACTGTTCAGCTGTTGCCCTCTGACCCCTCCCCACCAAGCCCTAAACAACTATTCATCTACCTTTTTTCTTTGTGGATTTACCTATTCTGGACATTTCCTGTAACGTGGGACCTTTTGTGTCTGGCTGCTTTCACTCAGCATGATGTTTTCAAGGCACATCCACATCACAGCACATATCAGCGCCATGTTCCCTTAGGAGTGAGTCAGTCCAGTGTACGCAGGGACCACATTCTCCCTGTCCTTATTCGTTCAGGTATCGATGGATGCTTGGATGGCTTCCACCTCTCTTGGGTGAGTAGTGCTGCTGTGAACATTGGGTATGCAAGTTTTTGTGTGGGATTACAGATGTGCGCTACCACATCTGGCTAATTTTTGTATTTTTAGTAGAAATGGGGTTTCACCATGTTGGCCAGGCTGGTCTTGAACTCCGGACCTCAAGTGATCCACCCGCCTGATCCTCCCAAAGTGCTGGGATTACAGGTGTGAGCCACCGCGCCCAGCCTACGTAGAACTGATTTGATGAGAAGCTGAGTCTCTAACAGATGCAGTGACTAGGACACTATTGGGTCAAAGAACCACATAGGCTGTGCACCAGGAAGAAACACACACAGGCTGGCACTGGTAAAATGCAAAATAAATAAATAAATAAAACCACTTGCATTTGTCAAAAATAAAATTTTAGGCTGGGCGCGGTGGCTCACGCCTGTAATCGGAGCACTTTCAAGACCATCCTGGCTAACACAGTGAAACCCCATCTTTACTAAAAGTACAAAAATTAGCTGGGCGTGGTGGGCACCTGTAATCCAGCTACTCAGGAGGCTGAGGCAGGAGAATGGCTTGAACCTGGGAGGCGGAGCTTGCAGTGAGCTGACATCGTGCCACTGCACTCCAGCCTGGGCAACAAGTGTTTTAAACTCCATCTAAAAAAGAAAAAAAAAAATTTGCATAGAGACATTTGTGGCTGCTCTGTATATTACAGTCATTAGCTGGAAACTGTTTATGAGGTGATAGCTAAGTAGGGGGTCGATTAGGAGAATGAGCTATTGCCTTCGTGTATAACAACTATTGAGAAGAAATAGTTATGTGATACCATCGTAATTTTAAAAAGAGAATCTGGGCCAGGCACGGTGGCTCACGCCTGTAATCCCAGCACTTTGGGAGGCCAAGGCAGGCAAATCACCTGAGGTCAGGAGTTCAAGACCAGCCTGGCCAACATGGCAAGACACTGTCTCCACTAAAAGTACAAAAAAATTAGCCAGGCGGCCGGGCGCGGTGGCTCAAGCCTGTAATCCCAGCACTTTGGGAGGCCGAGGTGGGTGGATCACGAGGTCAGGAGATCGAGACCATCCTGGCTAACATCTACTAAAAATACAAAAAAAAACTAGTCGGGCGTGGTGGCGGGCGCCTGTGGTCCCAGCTACTCGGAGGCTGAGGCAGGAGAATGGCGTGAACCTGGGAGGCGGAGCTTGCAGTGAGCCGAGATCGCGCCACTGCACTCCAGCCTGGGCGACAGAGCGAGACTCCGTCTCAAAAAAAAAAAAATTAGCCAGGCATGGTGGGTGTACCTGTAAGCCCAGCTACTCGGGAGGCTGAGGCAGGAGAATCGCTTGAACCTGGGAGGTGGAGTTTGCAGTGAGCCAAGATCGTGCCACTGCACTCCGGGCAACAGAGCGAGACTCCGTCTCAAGAGAAAATAAAAATAAATAAGAGGATCTGGAATTTTGATCACATAATGATACCCACAAGAGAAAGTTCTGTCTAGTTACCAAGGGGAAGTAGGTCCGGAATTTGTCAATAGTCAGTGAGTTTGGAGATAGGGTTTTTTTAGTTATTTTGTGCTGATTGATATATGCACGTTTCTACTTTAGTTATTATTACCTGTTACATAACATATATGCTTGAATATTTACTTCAAGGAAACACACCTCTATAAGTGATATTCAAGAGTAGCTACTGGGCTTGAGAATGAATGTGTTAGAACAAATGAGATTGTCCTATGAGAGAGGAGGCAGGAGCCAGGGAGGAGGATCCCAGGTGGCCAGGGCTCGGCAGGGAGGCAGGGCCGTCGGAGGGCGGCCAACCAAGGAACCACCCCACGGAGGTTTGCAGAGGTCAGGGCCCCCCCCAGGTGATTGGATTGTTGTGGAGTGCCCAGAAGACAGGGAAAGTCTGAGTTCACCAGATAACTCAGACCAACTGGAAACCCAGTGGTGGTTCTACAGAACCAACTAGCATAGGATTGGCTGCGTGAGGGTGGGGTTGGCGTCTGTCTTCACTACAGCTTTGTCTGCAGAGCCATCACTGTAATAGCTTACAGTAGCTGCTCAATATGTGTCTGGAAGTGAATTAATACCTAGGAAGGGAGGAAGACAGGTACAGCTCTTTGCAGAGACTTCCCACCTGAAATGCCATCGCCCCAGGCACTGGAGCTGTCCAAAACCTTGGCTTGTGGAGAATTTCCAGAAGGGGGCACTGTGGACGCAGTTCAGTATCTGCCTCCCAAGGCTGGGGCTCCATGTCAAAAGAAGGTGAGACGACCGGGCACAGCGGTCACTCCTGTAATCCTAGCACTTTGGGAAGCCACAGAAGGATCACTTGAGGCCAGGAGTTCAAGACCACTTGGGTAACATAGCAGGAGCTTCTCTCTACAAAAAAAAATTTAAAATGTAGCCAGATGTGGTGGCCTGAACCTGTAGTCCCAGCTACTCAGGAGTCTGAGTCAGGAGGATCACTTGAGTCAGGAGTTCAAGGCTGCAATGAGCTCTGATTGCACCACTGCACCCCAGCGTGGCAACAGCAAGACCTGGTTTCTTAAAAAAAGAGATGAGATTGGGGTGTCCTGCTTCCAGGCATGTGGAGGGGAGAACTGGGAACTGTGGACTGTAGGGGATCGCACACCTTTGGATGGGACGAGCAGCTCTCCAGAGCTGCACGGAAACCACAGGCAGAGGCCCTGGCTGGTGAGATGATTCTAGCCATGTGGCCCGCCCAGCGGGAAAAGCAGGAACAGAGACCAGAAATGAGGCCGGGCACAGTGGCTCACGCCTATAATCCCAGGACTTTGGAAGGCTGAGGCGG